ATAATTCGTTCTTATTGCGAAATAGGAGCACTATTTATCAATCTGTAATAAAAGACGTGAGGAAATTCTGTCTTTTTTAAAGACAAAAATTTTTGGGGCAAAATACCCAAAAAGAAGTTTGTAAAAAAATATTTAGCTGTGTTGTGGGTTTATTCTTTCGAAGTTTTTGACGTTGCAGACGTGTTATAAAAAATGTAGGCAACATTTAAAAAATTGTTTCCTTAAAACAATTTTTGGTGTGGTGCCTTCTTAGTTCTCAGTTACTCTTTGTCACTCGGTGATTTTTTTTTAAGTTATAACCGAAACTTTTTCCTTAGGCGCAAATTCGTCAACTTCAAGCTGAAAATGAGGCTTTAAGAGCAGGAAATGCTGGAGCGACTGGGGGTGAGGCAGAGCCCCGTCTAGAGTTTCAGACTCAACGTCTGGCTGATGAATTAAAAGCAGCTGCTAGTTCAGCGGAACAATCTTTAAGGTAGACTGGAATTATACATGGTGTAAATATTAAATTGGTAGATTATTTAATTATATTTATTGGTCTTCGTGTTAAAAGGCTAGAAGGCAACACGCTGTCTACAACAATAGAAATAAATATCTTAATGCATTTTCCTATCTAAACATGAATCCAGAAGAAATGTTGCAAATTAAAAAACGGCGCTCTAAGGCATCTTTTATAAACAATTACTTTTCCATAGATCTTTGTTGACCGGTGTGGACAATTTACGGTTTATGGCATCGACTTTGGAAAATTTTCATCGAATAGAAGAAGGACCGGCGGAGAGGTTTTCTAGGTTTGACGATGACGGTGCTGGTCCAGCACTATAGCCAGTTTACAATTTTACTGTTTGATTATAGTAGTGCCGTATTTATTAGTTCCTTTGAAACTTACGTAAGAGAATGGTAACCAGTACGGAATTCTTCACCGGGTTTTGAAGAGTTAATACTAACGTGATTGCAATATGTTATGCAGTATTAATAACGAGAGCAGAAGTTGCTTAATATTTCTGTGTTTATAGTTTATCAACTTGGGCCATTTGTTTTTCTGCTGTTCTGAAATATTTTAAAGGTTTGAGGTCTCAATCTGTATATAGTTAAGTTATAAGAAAGTCAAATAATTTATTATTTGATTTGTAAGTTATTATAATGCAAAATAATAGTGGTTTCTAATCACATGTTCGAAATTTTTTATATGTTAAATAACCAAATTCCGTTAAGCCAAGAAACAATTATTATTAGTGTTAATATATGTGGCTACTTAGATTTGTAAGTTCTGAATATCCTGTACACCCAAAGCTGTCAGCTTGAAATGAATAAAGTATTTTACTTGTACTTGTGTTTGATTTTTCCTTCGATTTCAGAGCAAAACGTTAAAAAATCAGCGCTTTGATTATATGTCTAGATCTAGGAAAACGAATCAAAGTTCTATCATTACCCACTTAAAAACACCTTATTGTTCCAACAAACGATCACGAAGCCATAAAAAATGTATGTGAAAGCTTTGTCATTTCTTGATCTTTTCGTGTGGCAATTGAAATAGAAATGGGACATTTGCGGCGAGCCATGTCCAAAGAAGGATGGATTATTGTTTTGCTGGAATTTAATTTTCTTGTCCTACTTGCGGTTATCTGCGTTTATGGAGAAAATCAGCAACGCATTTTGAGATCGGACTATGAATGTGAGTGGTTTTCAAATTAGCATTACAGGCGTTCACTTGGTCTTTCCTGCTAAAGTTCTCGACATTTTTTAAGTTTATCTCTTAGCATCTCCAGTTTCAACAAAGGAACACACAACAAGTTATACATATTTAGGAACCATTCAGCAAAGTTGAATATGATTGTCACTTATAATCTTTGTTAGTTTGCATTTTACATAACTATTTCTACAATGTGGCGTCGCATTCGGTCTCCCATTCTGTTCCCGGCAGCTTCAAAAAAATTGGAACTGTTAAAATTTTCACTGCTTTTGCTATTCATCCAGTGCTTTTTATTCGTCCTATTTGTGGCCTTTGGGGCATACAGCCTTCGAGCGGACGCATCCAGTCCTGGAAACAGCATAACGCCAGTATTTGGCGGCTTTAACCATGCAAGATTCAATATTGTTGCTAGATTTCAACCAAGTGAGAAGTACAGGTTTATTTACTTAAATTATTTAATTTATTTGATTAATAGTGTTTCAAGACATCCACGTAATGGTATTTATTGGGTTTGGATTTCTAATGGTGTTCTTAAAACGATATGGATACAGTTCTCTTGGCTTCAACTATCTTCTGGCTGCTCTCAGTTTGCAATGGAGCATACTGTGCCAGGGATTTTTTGAACTAAATGACGATTATAAAATTGAAATTGGCATGACTAGGTAAATATATTTTTAATGAGAACTCTTATATTTATTAATTATTGTGCTTTTAATTCAGTTTGTACAGAGCGGATATAGCTACAGCGACTGTATTGATATCGATGGGAGCTGTGTTGGGACGCGTTTCGCATATCCAACTGATTGTGATGAGTATTTTGGAAATTGCGGCTTATTCAGTGAATTACGTTTTAAACGAAAAATATTTCAAGGTATCTAACTCATTTTCCGGTAAATCTAATATAAAACTGTTTTCTTTTATTTATCTAAGTATTACCTACAGTTGATGTTGTTTGAAGATTTTTGCAAATTTTTTTATTTATCGACTGTGTTTTAAGGCAGTTGATGTTGGAGGTTCCATTCTGGTTCACACATTTGGGGCGTATTTCGGATTAAGCGTGAGTTATATATTGGGAAGGCAACAGAAATGTCTCTATGTTGACTTTGATTTGAGTGTTAACTTACATAAACCCACATATACTTCCAATATTCTGGCAATGATAGGTATGATCCCAGCATAAGACGCAAATAATTTTTTCCCAAAAAACCTATTGTTCTGACTAACATTAGGAACGCTATTTTTGTGGGTCTACTGGCCAAGTTTTAACTCCATTGACTTGGAAAACGATCGAGCACATAGAGCCGTTATTAACACATATTTGGCACTGGCTGCCTCTTGTGTTATTGCGTTCGCTGCCTCACAGTTGAGCTCCAAAGAACACACATTTAACATGGTTTGTATAACAATTATTTATTAATCCTATTATTGTGAAAATATTTACCTTTCTATTGTTAGGTATTTGTTTTAGGTTCATGTTCAAAATTCCACACTAGCTGGAGGAGTGGCGATTGGAGCTTGTGCTCATTTGATGGTTCAACCTTTTGGGGCCCTTCTAATTGGAATGATTGCCGGATTTTTGTCAGTGTATGGATATAACACTGTATCAGTACGACTTCTACAGAAAAATCTCCAAATTTTATTAACGTTTCTATTTTCTCAGTTTTTTCTAAAGCGCCGTTTAGCTATTGAGGACACTTGCGGAGTTCATAATTTGCATGGAATTCCCGGAGCTTTTGGCGGAATCACAGCAATTCTTTTAGCTTATATTGCGACTGAACAGCAATACGGAAAGACTCTTTACCAGGTATGTTTGCTATATTTTCTATTTAAAAAAATCTAGGATGAAAACGGGGTTCAATTCTGTTGCCGTTCTGTCTTAAAATGACCGGACATTTTTAAATGTTACGAGTAGAATGCGTTCAAAGGTATATCAAGCTAGAGCCAGCCCAGAAATCTCTCCAAATACTGAATACATAGTATTGGAAACGGGCGATGGAAGAACTGCGAGCCAACAAGCAGGATATCAGACCCTGCTTCTTGTAGTTACAATTTTAATGGCAACCGTTTCAGGACTGATTTCAGGTCACCTATAAAACTAGCATTAAAACAGCATTGATAATAATTTAATGTATTCTATTAGGTTTCATAGTTAGCTTGAGATGGTGGGGCGATGCTTCGCCAGAAACATTTTATGAAGATTCAGTTTTCTGGGAGCTACCAAGTGAACAACAAGACGTACAAGATCATCCACCACCTACATGGAAATTAAAGGAAAAGTTGTATAACAATTCCAATGTTAATATGTCAGTAGTATGTATGTAGTCAAAATGTGTTTTTTAATTATTTTAAATTACGTTTTACATAGACTCGTATTCAATTCAAGCTTATTTGGATATTTAATGATGAATATCTTGCAATAATTGCTTGTCATTATATATCTACATGTAAAACGTGTGTTATTTTTACAAATATACAGCGAGTTTGGTAAGTCCATGCTCGGGGGTTAGGGTTTTAGTCATTTTAAATAAATATATTTTCTAAATAAACAATAGCTAGTTTAGTTTTACATTTACAAGATATTAAAATTGTCATTAGAAAACTAACATTTTTAATACATTTAATGAAAACCGATTAAAATATTTTAGTGAAACACAATGCATGTTTTCCAAAAAAAATCTTTTTAGCAAGCAGTTTTAAAGCAGTTTTACCGGTGGCATGATCACAGGCTTATCTGGAGACAATTTTTATTATGTGCGATTTATTCATCCACTTTTTATAAATTTTTTTACTGACCACACATCGATCTGGTAATTCCTTTATATTTAATCACAAAACATGGAACTTTGTCTTTCAACTAGAGGTCGTTTAACCAATTCTTAGTCCTAAATGCTTTTTTATACAAACCTATAGAGCTTCATTTACTTTAATTTAACATTAACTGCGATATTATCAAAACCTTCAAGAAATGCGTCCACTGACTAAACACTCTATATGAATATAATTCCGCACTAAAGTTAGRCATGGTTCTAAGTCAACAGYCTTTTAAATGGGAAGCAAAATTAAAATTTTAATGTAAAAATTGTCTTTCTATTAGCGGCGATAATTATCATTGAAAAGTGTAATCTTGATGATTGTTCCAAGCAATATAACAAATCAAATTGATCTGAAACTAGTTAGGCAGCGTTTTCGCTGCAATTCTGGGGAAAAATATACCTATGTATTATAATTAGTTGTTGAATCTTTTTTTACTAGAAATTGCTCTCTCTGAATAATGGATTTAACCAAACGGAGCATCAACATGAGGATTACGAAGCTAAAAAACGTGGTGGATTGGGACAGACGGAAAAATATTCTGTGACAGCGCGCACTTGTGGAAGGCCATCAAATTATCTTCAAACAAGCAGATATTTTGCACCAAACACATTAGTTTGGGTCTGTTCTTGAACGCTCTAACCAAAAAGTTTCGAGATAATTTCAAAAGACAGGGAGAAGTTGCATTAAACCACAACTGGAGATGAATTGCGCTGCAACGCACCCTGCGCGCTCCTGTTGCCCCACTCTACCCCCACTTCTTTTCCATAGGCACAGGATAGTATAAATACAGCAGTCG